TTAGATTAATCGTCATTACACGAATGAGATTTTTAAGCTCATTATATATATAAATCATTAAGAAAATAATTAATAATAATTTTTAAAAAATAATTAATAAATTTTTTGCTACTTTTGTGAAGTTTTTTTTAAAAAATAAAGGAATTTTTAAATAAAAATCCTATTGTAATGTTAATTCTCTTTAATCGGAGTAAAACATTATACAAAAGTAAATTATATATAAAAATTGTATATTTCATTATATATAATTAGTTAATTTGATGAGAAAAACATAAAAATATGATTGTTTCAAATCGAGTTATATTTTCCAACATCAATAATGTTGTTATAAATGACCGGATACGACTGCTCTTATCTTATCAGTAAAGGAAATTAACAGCGCTGATATCATTAGATAATTTATTGAATTAATTTTTGTATTGTACAGAGTTGATAATAAAGAAATCTGACCCAGAAAAACACAATTAAAACTGAGAAAAATAATAAAAACTGTAATTATATAATATAATAAAGAAAATAATAAAATCTATAACAGAGATCTATAATTATCGACAGTACTATTATGATACTAATTTAATAATATAGTGCTTCATCCTGCTAATTTTTAATGTATATCAATGAAACTATTTTTATTAAATTATCAAATTAATATATCAAAATATTAATAATAAATGCCTTAAATATAATTAAAGTTTACAGTTAGGCTAAACATATTCGATGATACCAAATAGTACATTTTACATATGAAAACAAGAAAATTCTGTACTGTCCGGCAGCTATGTTACATTATCGATTTCTTTTGAAGTCATTCTGCATTGTTACTGTACGTGTATTAATTTCAAAATATGTACAGTGGCTGTTTTAGGCTGTGCGATGCTCTTTTACAGAACTTTATGTAATGTAAAGCTCTATCACGCGATACTTACAAGGATTATACAGAGTGCAGGATCCTAGTTAATATCAGATTTCAAGTACTGGACCAAGACAAAATCGACAAGCGTAGATTTGCAGTACATTTGTCTGAGGCCCTAAATATACGAGGCCTTAGGACAATCCCAAACTGCTTGTATTAAAACCACCACTGCTTGATTTATTACACAATATTTATTTAAGTTCTATCAAATTCTTGTACATTTATACTTCTTGGAATAACTGTTGATCTTGTTGCATTTGTGCTAATTTGATTACTTTCAGCGGATACTAATTTCTTTTTAAATGATAATTTTCCAAATATTCTTGTTGATAGATTTAAAAATATGCGTTTAAATTTATCGTGTAGATTCGAATATAAAATTGGATTAATAAAACAATTAAAAAGTTTTAAAATTGTTAATAAGCATCTAATAATGAAGATACGTTTGGTAAGATTCGTTTTTACGGTTCCAATTTTCAAATTGTAACTACAAATTGGAAATCTACATATAAAATATAAAGCAATTAGTGTAACTAACGTTTTTACAATACGTTTTTTCTTCTTTATATTCGAATCAGATCTTTCTAATGTTTGTATATCACCAACAGGTTTACGCATCCATAAGTAATATCCTACGTAACAATATAAAATTGTAATTATAAGAAATAAAGGTAAAAATGATACAGCAGGAACTATATAAATATATACCCTAGTTCCTAAATAGCCAAAAATATCATCATCTATGACACAATACGTTTGAACTTGTTTCGAAGAAGAAAATTGAGAATACAATAAACGAGGAATGGAAACTTTAGTTTTGATATTTTGATAAATTTTATAGATAATTAATGAAGGTATTCCCATACATATACCTATAATCCAGATAATAACAACAACATAAATTGAAATCTTTGAATTTTGTACGGATTTACAACGCATAGCATGAACCACTGCTAAATATCGACCGATTGCGATGAAACACAATGTTAAAGAACTCGCTACAGTACAAGTAACTTGTACAAATGGTAATACATTACAAGTCCAATATCCAAGTTTCCACATCATGTCGTTCATCACATTATTCACTTCCGGAAGAAATGTAGCAATTGTCTGTAATAAATCGCTGATGGCCAAAGAGAAGGCAAAGAAATAGCACAAAGACGCTGCTGTCTTCCTGTAACATATGGCAACGTAACAACTAGCAGAATTAGTAATAATTGAAGCAACGGAAAACAAACTAAAGATGATTACGAACACATTTTTCGACCAAGATGACAAAAGTTCTGATGATTTTCGTGTATATCCAGGTGATATGCTTTTATAAAATGATATAAGATCCATAACATCTAAAATTGTCATATTTTCAGCATGATGTTGAATAATATCTTGAAATTTTCCATTGCTTTGATCTTGTACAAGATGATAAATCGTACACCAAACTTTAATTAAAATTGACGAATAGTCCATGTTAAATTTCTTTCTATAGGAGAAAGTATCTGTATAAAAATATTTTTCAAAAAAAAAGAAACAAAAAAAAAGTGATTTTGCTTTATCAGATAACTACTTACATTTACTTGTAGATGAGGATTTCATTGAATTATACTTGAGGATAATAGAATATTTTCAATCTAAAAGTAGATCCTTTATAAAAAGAAAAGTTCAAAATTTGCAATTGAGTAGTCAAAAGTGTTCTAGTTTAAGCAAAACGTTTTTCGATCGATACGAAAGGTGTATATCTGGTAAATCGGCTCTTACCTAAGGACACTTCACAGAAAAATGGTGTTATCTAAAGATTGGGTAACTATAAACATCAAAAGTAGAAGAGCGAACAGATGGATATCTCGAAAATTAATTATAACTATCTGATAATGTGAAGTGTTTTTATCATAAATACCATTAAAATTGATTATTTTTATTTAAAAAAACTAGAATTTTCCATTAAAACATACATAAATTATATTAGAACATGATAAAAGAATCGTTAAAAAAGTCTTTTCATTATTTTCCTTCAGTTTGCTTCTTTATAGCTTCATTACCATTTGAAAGAGACTATTCTAGTAGAAACAAATTCATGTAATAAATTTCAATAAAACTATTTTATAGTAATTATATACCTAATTAATTTAATTCGATATATTAAAAATAATTAAGCATCATTAACATAAAAAATTTTTAAAAGTAAAATATAACTTTAATTAAATTTAATTTTTTAATATATTTGAATTTAGCTTATATGTTTTATATAATTTTACTATAATAATATTATATTAAATATTAAATATC